TCTCACACATCTATTTCCCATTTGCAAAAAAAGACTTAACTGTATTTCTTTTTATGGCTTACTTATTTACTTGCAATACAATGGAAACTAATTTCATTCACGAAACGTAGAAACACATCTTCCCCTTCTCCGCCTTTTTTTTATCATTTCTTACATTTTTTTCTCAAGTTTCTGCTGCCCGGGGCTCGAAACTTGTTTTTTTGGGATTTCGCCGATTTCTTTTGACTATTCAAGCGCGCTGACTCTGACGCAGGCGACGACTTTTCGCATATTTTCTCACAAAAGAATTTCTCGATCTCCGCGTCCACAGATCGAGCCAACTCGCAGTTCGATTTGACTATTTTGACGGTTATTTCTTCTACCTTGCCCCGAGGGTAATTGCAGCCGTTTGAATTAATTTATTGGCTTTCCAGTTGGGCTCTTTGATACTTTTTGGCCATATTCCGTTGACTTAATTGTGCTGCTGGCCCCTATAACTGTTATTTTTGTGTCGGCCGCTTGGACCCGTTTTCTGTTTGGCAAGCTAATAAGCAGCAAATATATTTAATTTGTGCATTGGATGTTGACACCTTGACCGCATTGTATTGGCCTGGCCCTAAAACCCCGGTCTTACGGCCTTATGGGCCATTATTCGAGCAATTTTGAAATTGAATCGAATTATTGTATATTTTCTAGCCTTAAGAGCCATAACAAATTGCCAGCCAGGGCTTTTTCGATAATGTCCCGAAATGGCTGTTGAGGGTCTCGCCCATCCTTTTGGCCAAATGGCCGGCTGCATTACCACTTTCAGTCATGGCCATTAGCAGGCAGTTGGCAAGTGCATTAGCGGCATGATAACAGGCATTACGCATACGCCAGGTGGGCCAGAAGCCGGGCTAGAAGCTAAGCCAATCGTCCATTAAAATCTGTGCCGCACTTTTTCTTTCTACCGTCTGACACTTTCTTGGCTATTGAACTCGAAAAGCTCAAAACGTAAAACTGAAAACGGAAAAAAGCATCGGTGTGCTGCAAACCAGATCGCCGCCGAAAGAAATATCAGCAGCTCTGGCAACAACAATTTGGGTTAGAGAAATTTGCGCCCCGCGACGACACACTTTGGCTTTCAGCTCTTTGGCCAACTTGGGTTCTTGTGGCAAGTTCCACATCGAACGAAGAAGTCTGTGTGGTTCTAGACCACGATTTAACCTTGGCTTGGGCTGCTTGGGCGTAATGCGAGACAAGTGTCGTCGCTTAGTCGTAATGTGCTTAGTTGCGCTTACTTTCTTTGCCTGCCAATGTATCTGAAACTGGGAGTATCTGCGTATCTGTGTATTCGCGTATCTGTGTAGCTGTGCCCATAGCAACACCAACACACAAAAGACAGCAACAATGCTAATGCCGCACATAAACCGATTTACTCAATTAAACTTTAAAATCACAAAGCCAAAAAAAAGTAATGTGACGGGAATGATGTTTAGTTTGGTTTGGTTTTCTTTTCTTTGTTTTTTATCTTTTGTATATCTTCAAGTATATTTTGCGCGGAAAAATAGCCAAGGTAAGCTATTGGCAAAATTCAGAAATAGGATAGAAAAACGGCCAACGTCACAGTTCAATTTGGGGTCTGCATTTTGAATAGCTATCTAAGGCTGATAATGTTTTTGAAAAAAGGCTAATGGGTTTTGATTCGATTATTGCGGTGAATCAAATACATAAATATTAGGATAATTTAAAATTATTAAACTGGTATTGAACTACTATTCAATAACGTAAGCTCTTGCTATAAAATAAATTCTTAAATTTGCCAACATTTCAAACCTTTCTGTTTAAGGTTGAAATCCAAAAGCAAACATCTCACCCATATTCAATGCTTTTTGGCCATCGACAGGGCAGGTTTGTATGTTATGAGTTCATAGACACATAGGCCGTAATCGGATTAACTGATAGCCGAGTGTCGCAGTCACGCCCGGAGTGGCTTGCATCTGTCAGATACGAGATGCGAGTAAGCGATACTGACAGATACGAGATGCATGACCCGTCCTCGGCTCATTAGGCTTTCGCACAGCTTTTCACTCAATTAGCGCAGCATATCATTTGCATACTGTGAGTCTAATTAAATTATGTTATATGACGAGCTACTCCTCTGGCTATGGCTCCCTCCTGTCATGTCTGGGCCATGTCATTTTCCGTTCTGAGGCCTAACGGCAAAATGTTAGCCCAACAATGAGACATTAGCCTGGGCGAGCCTATCATTATGTAATTTGTTGGGTCCCGGAATCAGAAAGCTCTGGCTGTAGCTCCTGGCATGAGCTGATGTCAGAGCTCAGGTGCCGCATCATAACTTAAAATAGTAGCCAAGTCAAGACGAGCCCAGCCATGTTGTCTTCAAGCCAATTAAATATTTTAAAGACTTTTTTTTCTTTTTTTTTTTTTTTTGGTTTCTGCGCATTTTGGTAGAACGGGCAGCTAGCTGTCCTCTTCAGTTGCTTTTAATCTTTCTTTTAAAAAGACGAAAATTAAAATAAATTAACATAAAGTTAAAGAAAGAACCCAAGAGGCGAGTCGAGGCCATAGAACATTTTAGCAACCTGATGCAGTGGCTGTCTTAATTGTCATGATAATGTGGTATCTGAGTACTTCTTGGCTCAAATTCAATATTGAAAGTGACTCTCGAAAGTCACATAATCAGTTGGGCTACAGTTCATCAAACTCTCTTGTGGCTGCGTATTAAGTATACGCCGTGTAAGCCCTCCGATAAGCTCGTAAAAAGTTTGTTCCGTAAACTTTCTGCCACGATTGCCCCCCATCGGTGAGTGATGGAGTTCTAACAAAGTTTCTGCCATCCATCTATCTATCCATCTATCTATGTATCTGTCTTCTTGGCCCGGGGCAGCGGAAGTGCTCACAGTTGGGCCAAATTGAAGCCTCAATCCCCGATTTTTATTCAATCCACCGACAACCGCAGTCGGAGTCCCAGTCACAGTCGCAAAACCGCACAACTTAAAGTGCCTTAAGTCGAGGCATTTATGTCATTATTGACACTGCCTGACTGCCTGCCTGGCATTTTCGTTTTTAATTAAAATACTGCAGCAGATGTGCAAAAAAAAAATAAAGGAAAATAATATTAAATAGAGGAAAAAAGAAATTCTAGAAAAAATGCTGAAACCACAGAATGAAATCGGAATGGGGACCGCAAAACTACAACTAGACACAACCTTTTCCGATCGCATTGGCCATGTTTCCTGTTGGCTCATCAATAAATCTGTATTCCTGCTGGCGCCGCTGCAGACAAACTCTGTCAAAATTTGCCAGCTCCGTCCGGCAGGAGTTGTACAACAGAATTTGTCTATAAATCACACTATTTCCGACCAAAGGCCAGGGCCAAAAAAACACGAAAAAAGGGAACAAAACCAAACACCTGCTGCTGCTATTGCAGGGTCCAGTTCTGGCCATGGCCCTTCAAATGTCCGACCATGTATGTAGTAGTCCCCCATGGCAATTCACCACTACTACATACTGCTGTCTCCTGTCTCGTGTCCTGTCTCCTGTCTCTGGCCAGCTGCCAATGAAATCTCTGAATTGCTGGCAAACCAAATAACACTCAAAGTCATTTCAGGTTGAAAATGTTTGCCAGCCGTTTTTTGGTTTGCTGGAGGGAGGCGATGGTGGTCACATATTGCGGTATCGTTTTATTTGCATTTTTTATTGGATACCCCCCGCTAGTCCTGCGAGGTCCAGGCATCCTGCATGTAGTTGTAACTGTTATAAATATATCGTTTTGGCTTTTATTCGCCGCTCGAGTCCAGACTTTGGTCCAGGCCATAGTTTGCATTATTTATGGCTAACTAAAAGCTTTTACATTTTGAGGCAATTTTTGTTTTTACGAGTTTGACAAATGTCGGCTGGCCATTTAAAGCTCCCCAGTTAGCGGCAGCTGGTGTGGGCATAAATTCTAATTAGAACTGTGTGTTTTGGCCCTCCTGCTTACGCTCGCGAACTTTTTCGGCCCAGAGCGCTGCAATGGCTGGGACTAGGAGGCTTTCATAAATTACCGACTGACTGAAACTATTTGCACAATGGCGAACGGCCATGGCCGAAAGGCTAAAGAGCAACAAAAACAACAACGTCGTCTGGGATGTGGCGCGTGGCAAGCTGGTTGTTGCTGCTCGTTGCCAGATGAATGAACGGGCCACCGAACCACTGAGCCGCCACCGAATGAATGGCTGCAATTTGCACCACCTCGACTGGTGGCTGGTGGCTCCTTTTTTTTACCATACTTTTTATGAATGAAAAACTCCGAGACCGTTTTAACGCCCGACTGGCTCTGGCTTTAATAATGTTGTAAGCAAATTAATTTTTATTAATTGGCTGCCGTAAAGATTAAAGCCGGCTTATGCAGGCAACTGGCAACTGTAATGGGCGGTCTGGTTTTTTTAGTTTTATATTTTTGCCCTAGAAAGAGTTGACACCCCGGATTGGGAACTTTTCCGATCGGTGGAGAGAACCCATGGGGAGAATCGAGTCGAGGAAATGAATAATTATTATTCGAATCGGAGCTTTAAACAATTGCGCAACGCGTCTGTCTCACATGTGCATTTAACACCGGTTTAAATGGCCCGTAAATAAATTATTATTGGCTATACAAGCTGGCTTTGGGTTTATTTTTAAAATATACTGTATCGCCATTACTCACTCACATAGGGGAAACGAAAGGATAATAAAGAATTCATTAAAATAAATAATTGAAACTATGGGACTTTGCGCCCAAAAAAAACGAATAAAACGTGAAATTTCAAAAGAGAAAATGGCAAAATAAAATAAACAAAATTAAATCGGAATGATTAAATATTTAAATTTAAATTTGATTTTATAATGAATATTTAACATTTTTTTAAAATTTAATTTCCATGTTAAATATTATTTTAAAAAAAGTAAAATCCCCAAGCACACTTTTTTCGCAACTCTTGTTTTCTCAAACTTTCTGGAATGTCCTGTTGAAAGGACACTCGTCTGTGAAAACTCACCTTATTCACTGAAGCCACAGAACGAATTTTTTTCGAATTTGAGCACTTGGCCACGGCAGTTTAGTTTGTTAGCAAATTTTGTATCTTTAAGATACGTTTCGTTTGGCAGTCCTTTGCACTAGAAATCGTAGGATCCTTTTAAACGCTTTTACACATCTTTAAAGTTTTCGCGCACTTTTTCGAACTTGTTCTGTTTATGGGTTCGATTCACTTTTGTTTAGTTTGTAGATTGTTATATTTTTTGATTTTGGTAATCCACTCTAGTTTTGTGTAAAAATGCAAAAGAATTTAGTGGTGCGGCAAGAAGCTGTTGCTGGTGCTGCTGCGGCTCCAACTGGTGGATTGGGATTCGATTCTGTTCAGTGCCGTTGGCGGTGGCGGTGGGCTGCCAGATACAACCGCTTCATAAAATTCAAAGAGACTCGAACCCAATAGCTTCTCGCCGCTTATTTATATAGCCTACGTCGAGCGGCGATTTTCAGAAAAATTTCAACGAGCGCAGCCAGGCGCTGACGCCGGCCGCAGCAGCAACTGAAGCGGCAGCAGCAGCAGCGGCAGCGGCAGAGCGAACATGCCAAACCGAATGCAGAGAGAGCAGCGCGGCACCCGAGCTGAGAGCGGCCAAGAACGTCACACACACACACTCGCACAGGCCCTGGCCTGGCAAACACACTCAAATGCTCATCTTTGGATCGCACCGCCGGCGTCGAAGTCGCCGACGACGGCGACGTCAGCAGCTGCGTCAGAATTCCCCGCGAAGAAATTTTTGCAGTCTCAAGCCCGGCTTGCCCCGCGTCGACTGCGGCAGCGGCCGAGACGGAGGCAGCGGCAGCGACCGAAGCAGCAGCAGCGACAGCGACGCGAGCTTGTAACTTTGGCCAACTTCGACTCTCGGCTCACACGCTCTTTGGCCAAGCGAGCTCGGCAAGTTCTTGGTCTTCGTCTGTTAACAACTTCGTGGTCTTGGCCATGGCCACAGCGAACAAGAAGAAGAATTCGCGCTGGCCAAGAGAAGATGATAATGATGATGAAGATGAAACTATGAAAACGGAATAATGATGACGATGGTGATGTTGGCGGGCAGAAGTGCTGCCAAAATCATTTAGTTTGGGAAAAATTGCAACATTTCAGCCATAATTAAGCATCATAATTTTTTCAAGAGGGATATTTTAAGATATACATATAAGATATTAATCTTTAAATATTTAAGCTTTCAGAATTAAATATTTTTTTCCAACTAGAGTTTTTAAAAGAAAGAAATGCTTCTTTTCAATATTTTTCGAAACTTTAAATAATAAAAGAAGTGGTTATCGAAAATTTAATTTTTTAATTTTTCTAACTTTAAGTGTATTTGAATTTTAAAAAACCAAGCCTGAATAAATCATTTATTTTAATTAAAAATAAGAAACTTAAGAATCATTCTATGATATTTCTATAGTTATTCTGAACTTTAATTTGTATATACATTTACTTTTAAAAACTTTTTAAACTCTGCAGCAAACAAATCCTTAAAAGTTTTAAGCTAAAACACAATAAAGTAAACATATTCCAAGAAATATGTTCAGAAAAAATGCCAAAACCCTAGCTATAGAATTCATTGATGTGGATGCTGGATGAAAAGGAGTTTCTATTTCCGTTGCTGCCTCTGCTGATGGAGATGAAGCCTTAGCTGGATGATGACGATGTTAGTCGTCAGTCAGTCAGTTGGCCATCAAGCGGCGCTTTGCGGTTTCTGGCCAAGATTCAAAGACAGAGTAGAGACCAATTTCGAGAGGTGTACAGGTGTCGGCGGTGAGCAGCGCCGCTTCTAATTAAACAATGCTCATTGCTGGGCATGCTGCTGCTGCTACTCGGGCTGCTGCTGCTGCTGCTTTTGCTTTTGACTGGCTTTTCAGATTTTTGCTGTTGCCACCAACTCGCACGCACTCGACAACGGCTACGACAAATAAGGCTCGGATGGTTAACCGGTTTTTGGGCCATCCCAGGTCCGAGCTCCGGACTGAACCAACTATTGTGCGTGACTCCCTGACTGAGTATTGACCTCTCCTATAATTAAACACTGCTGTTGCTTCTGCTTCAGATGCTATTCCTATTGCTGATTCTGTTGCCTGTTAATTGTTTTTCTTCGCTTTGCGAAATTCCTTTGTGCGGTTCAATTAATTATTTAATTACGCCAGAAGCTGGCAATTTAGCACTTGGCTTTGTTGTCTCCCTGCCTAAAAATTCGCATTTTTAGCAGTACGCCACGGCAAATGGGAAGAAAATGGCCGTGAAGACCTTAGAAGTCGCGCGCGCGCTCTCCTCACTCACTCACTCACTTACTGGGAAGTCGCGTTGCGATTTGGTTTTCGATTCGGATTCGGTTTCTATAGCTGGATATAGCTGGGTAAGCCGACACGTCCATTACACGACGCGCACGTTTCGCTAATGAACTGAACATTTCCGCTTTGCCTGTTTGCCGGCATCCTTTTGGCCATAGCCATCGTCGTCGCCGTCGCCGGCAGCTTCTTCTTGGTCCTTTCGCCGCTCCAAGTGGATGCTGGACTGCGCCGGCGCGTGTCGAACATTTGAGCGTGAAATTTGTCGCATTGGCAATCGCCGGAACAGCAAGAACCGCATCAGCATCAGCATCAGCACCAGGAGCAGGAGGTGTGCTCTGGCAGCAGCATTAACAATAAAGAAAGCAAGGAATAAAAACCACCCGCTCGAAGTAGCTCGAACAGCTTTCCTCCAGCAAGCAGGACACTTGAAATAAAATCACTCACCAAGTGGTATATATTTTATTTATATTTTTAATAATAATCCTTGAGTTTTATGACAGTATTTGTACTTGATGTTTAAAAACCAAAAATCAATGAGTAATGTGTTACACCCTTATACCTGATTTTTATTGATCATTGGTTGCGTTTTATTGACAGTTGACAGCCTTGGTATTCACCGACATTGTTTTCTTATTACATTAATTTATTTATTATTTTCTCCGAGTGTATCGCACTGCCAATCCCAGCAATTGCCGGCTACGTGTTGCCGGCATTTGTCGATTGTCGCTTGCTGTTCTTGTTGCTTTGCTGCTTTTGTGTGTTTTTGCTCTGGTTGTGACTTTAGTTTTTGCCTCCGAAGGATGCTGCTCCTGCTTCTGCTGCCCCTCGTCGCCTTTCATTGTCGTGAAATATTTTTTGGCATTTTCGCTTTATACGTGCAAATTTTATGGCAACAATTGGTGCGAAATGCCGGACATGCAAAGCGGCAGTCAGACAGACAGAGACGGAGACCGAATCCCATAGAAAGAGAGCCTTCAATGGAATGACAGGCCGTGTCTGGAGGAGCGGAGAGCAGGACCTGAAGCTAGATCTGTGTGACATAGTGGGTGGCGCTGCCTCAATTGAGTTGTACCCAGTTGTACAGGGTGCAAAGGTCCCCCAAAAACTTGGTCCATTCAATAAATTCTTTCCCGCTTACTTCTCATCGCCAATTCAGCGAAAAAGAGCTTATGGGTGAAATTTCCAAAGCAAGAGATTGGGGCTTTTTTTTTTGAGTTTATTGTTTCGTCTGGGTATATGAATCATGATTCAAATATATTTAGAATTACCTGACGTCGTGCCACTGCGAGTGCCATTAAAATCATTAACCATTTAAGCCAGCTCAGAATCAAAATAAGTTTTAAGAAGTATTTTAATGAAAACCGGTTGTAGTTTATTTAAACCATATTTCACATTCTTTATTGTGGTCTGTGCACCCTGTTTTTGGTTTATACTGACCTGACTTTAGTGGGGAAACTATCTACCAACCCTCCCCGAGCCGGCTAAGTGCTATCCATCACAGGGCCACAACAACCAGGAGCAAAATTAAAACCAGATACCAAAAACCAGGACAACCAGTGCCGGCCAAACGCTTGAGTAAATAAATAGCCAACGACAGTTTTGACCAGGCCAGAATGGAATCGTCCCGGCTCCGGATCCGGATTGGTTGGGATCGGATCGCCGCACAGCGAGGCAAATGCCAGGCGACAATGTCGAGTGATTTCCATTGTATGATGTGACAGGTGTCACGGCGCGTGGACAGGTGGGTGGACAGGACAGGACGGGAAAAAAACAGGACACAGGCCTAGGATGACACCAGACACTAGGCAGGGGGGGGGAGGGAGAAGCGGAAGGCCAACGAAGAGGCAACTTCAAGAGTCGCGAGTCAAGAGGCTTCATGACCAATTAGCCTTGTTAGCGGGATGAGCTGCGGGCATTGGGGCATGCCATGGCAGCACTAACGGTATTTGGTCAGTATTCAGCAGCCGCAGAGGCTTGTCTTTGTTCCCCCCCATCGACGCCCCTCCCCCCTCTCACATTTTGCTGTGTGTCAGTGGCAACAATTCCAGAATTCCGGTGGAGTGACACTCCACGCACGCCTGAGTTCAATTGATTTAACATGAAAGTGTAGCTCGGTAAATTGATTTCCAGAAAATGTTTAACTTTGGCATATTCTCCATCCACCGACATGGCCAATTGTTGGAGTTGGTTGTTGCTTTATTGGCAGTCATCAAAGTTTAAGGCTGTTGCCAAGTGACATGGGCTGGCAGATACAAGTAAAGATTTCTTCCAGGGGCTAATTGAAAAATGGTATTTAAAGGTTTAAGTTTTAAACTCCACTACGAGTGGTCTTGCAAAGAAAAACTTCTAGACAACAGGTACTTGGGTCTACTCCCTTCGTGACCTTTTAAAATACACATTTCTTTTTGGGATGAAAACCAACGAATAGCCAAAAACTCTATAACCATGTGTGTAAAAGTATGTACTTGTATCGCCTGACCCCCATCGCTCCCCTTAACAGAAACACATATATTCTTAGCCTTCTTCTTCTGATGTCGTCGCCGTATCAGAACAAGTATCTGTAGCTGACCGTAACGAATTGCGTCTGTTTCTGTTGTTGTTTGCCAAAAAGTATAAAGTATCTTTCGGGTATCGCTCTGCGCATATTTTTCCCTTTTTGCAACCCTCGAAGTACGCCTCGCAACGCTGCCGCCGAGGGTGATGACTGATGATGCTGGCGCGACTCCTTGTCCTCATCCTTTGAGTCCTGTGAGTTTTCCTCCTTTCTCTTGGCTGTCTGCAAGTTTCGGGTGAATCTTTTTTTGTTGTCTACTTTTCGGTCGCTTTAAAAGTTCATTTGCACCGCCCACCTCCACATCTCCGCACATCCCGACTCCTGCTGCAAATTAAATAATAGGCTTATGGTGGCTTAGTGTCGCAATTGTTGTTGTTTTTCGGTATCGCGCTTAGCATGCCATAAAGGCAAACATTTTTAATAATATTTATTGCCAGGCCATTCATGTGTCTTTAATGTGCCCCAGACAAGAACGCAGCTCGTGCATAACAAGAGGCTTGTCATTGTCATTGTGTGGCTAGTATTTTGTAGCAGCCACCGTGTTGTCGTCGTGTTGCCCCGAACCACGCTCCATCTAACTTGGTCTACGCCAGCTGCATTGCTTATGAGGCTCCATCTAGCGCCTATGCGAATTCAATCAAGTCATCAGCCTTAACTCCCTCCTTAAGGGGGTATCCCTCAAAGAGACCCTAATCCCTGGGACCCATTCTTGACCCTGGGTCACTCGTGATTGGGATCTTTCTGGATCTGAAAGGAAGTTCACTTTTAGGCAGTTAGTTCAGTACACATATCTTGGTAAAGGGGAAATAAATTATCATTGGTTTTCTTTGTTTAACATTTTTGAATAAAACTAATAATAGATTTAAACTGAAAGAAAGCAAACACAACATTAGTAGATGAGACTGGTTTTATACCAGTTCGGCATTATTCTTCGTATTTTGCTACTGGGGATCCCCCAAATTATGATTTTAATTAAAAAAGCAGAAATCGAACTTTACACCAACCTCACTCTCCCTGTAACCCTTAAAGTAGAAAGAAATACAATAATATTGTTACGTGATCACATCCAGACTTGGAACCAGTCTTTTATATACCTATATATAGTCTGTAGAATTTTTAAAATACCCCAGACACAGACGAGCAATTACGGTTAAGTGACTTTCCCATGGCTAAGTGCGCACATAATGCCATTCATGAATCATTCCGGCCCTTTGGATTGCTTTGCCTGGAAAATCAATCGCAAATCGCTTTTCCACAATGATTTCTTGTTTTGGCGCCACGTTCCCAATGTAGTGGCTTTTGTTGCTTTTGTTGGCGCCGCGAATGTGCTACGAATTAGCAAAAGTGATCGGATAAGCAAATTGCAACAGAAACTGCAACAACTGCAACTGCAACAGTAACAAAACCAGGAGCAACAAAATTTATGCTTTTAGAATATGAAATGAGTTGCTCTCCGGTCGTCGTCGTCGATGTTGGACTTGGTTTTTTAATGAATGGCTAGTTCAGTTTGGAAAAGGACTTGGCCGTGAAGTCGGCGCCAGGAAAACTCCTCCTCATGCATATGCAGGGCTATATATCATCCAGTATTCGGAATATATAATGTATGCTAATACCATTTGTCACACAGAAGCTGGGCTCTGGATTTCTGTTTCAGTTTTTTTTGTTTTAACTGAGAATTAACGGTTGGCACTTAAAATGGCACCACGCCTTTCTTGGTCCGCAAATCAGATTTTTAAGTGCCCGGATTTTTAGTGTAGTTTAACGAAATTAAACAGGCCATTTTATGGAGCATAAATCTCAACAACGACAACAACAGAAACAGTTGAAAAATTAGCATCTTTGATTTGAGAATATCAACCGTATACCGCCTCGGATACAAGACCGAGCCAAGCCGGAGTCTGTCCGAGTTGACCCAATTAGTTTGGGTGAGTAACTCATAAAAACGACATGCGATTGCTTATCAGCCTCGGCACAGACCACGACCCTTTTGGTATTTGGTATTTGCTTTCTCTTGGACTTGGCTCTAACTTTGGATGTCTGAATGTTTGGTATTGGGATTGGAATTGTGATTCTGACCGAAATTGGAGCAGAGCAGGCACTCACAGATACACACCCGGAGCAGTAATTGCAGCTAGCATCTTCCACTCCAATTGTGCGAGTAGTTTGCTTTATTTTTCCTTTGGGCCAGCAATAAGTTGTGGCCATTGTTTGCCCGGTTGGGTGTGGGATGTTGGCTTAGAGCATGGAGGAGGGATGACAGCAATTGGAACAATCAGAGCTAAAACTGCGGAAATTGCTAGAATAAACAGCAGAGAACTAGCAACAGAACGTAGATCTCCGCCATCAGGAATTATTTCGGATTTTATTTGATAATCTTTAATAATATTCTCACGCTTTTTTCACGGCTCGTTGACTTGGTAGATGCAAGCCCCCAGATAAAGGCCAGCGAAGTGTAAAAGCTTGCCAAAAAAACACAAAATGAAAATAGAAAGAAAACAAATTTAATAAAAGGCGTTAAAAAATTCGCCCCAAACG